GACCCCCCCGGAGCCGCCGTCGCGCCCCGAGGTGAGTGCGGGCCCCCCCCCCCCCCGACCCCCCCGGAGCCGCCGTCGCGCCCCGAGGTGAGTGCGGGCCCCCCCCCCCGCCGGCCCGGCCCCCCCGCCCCGCCCCGGTATTGTTGTGGCGGAGCCGCGGGGGCGGGGGGAGGAGGGGGAGGCGCTTTGTTCCGCCCGGTACCGGCCATCGGCACCGGCTCCCCCTGCTCGTGGGGGGACCGGGGCCCCCCGTCGGTAACGGGGACGTCCCTTCTGCCGGGAGCCGTCGGTGCAACGGGAACTGCCCCCCCCCAGTACCGGCAACTGGTGCGCGGGAGGGGCCCTCACCCGCGGGTGCCGTGGGGAACCCCGGGATGGGAGCATCGTGGCTGGCGCTGCAAATAGGGACCCCCCAATCTGGGATGGGACCCCCGGGTGGCACCGTCGTGGAGACCCCCCAGGGATGGGACCATTGTGGAGACTCCTTGGGTTGGCACTGCCACAGGGACCCCCTACCCAGGATGAGACCCCACCCGGGATGGCACCGCTGTGAGATCGTGGGACGCCAGACTCCCTGTGGGATCCCCAGGTGTACAGCAACAAAACTGGGGACCCCGGGGACCCCGTCCTGCCTGTTGCACTCTGATGGTGCCTGTCCCCGCTTTGGGCACCCTGGCCGCGCCCAGGGCACCCCAGCTTTGCCTGTTGCACCCTGACTGTGCCTGTGGCGCCCCAGCTATGCCCATTGCACGCCAACTGTTCCCATGGCACCCTGGCCATGACCAGGGCACCTCAGCTTTGCCTGTTGTACCCAGCCATACCTGTGGCCCCCCCAACTTTGCCCATGGCACCCTGGCATGCTCAGGGCACCCTTGTTTTGCCCATGTCACCCCAGCCATGCATGTGGCACCCTGGCCATGACTGTGGTCTGTGGCACCTTTACTGTGCTTTTGTCTCCAGAGCCAAGCCCGTTGTACCCTAGATATGCCCGTGGCACCCCAGCTTTGCCTGTTGTACCCCAGCCGTGTCCCTGGCACCCCAGATTTGCCTGTTGCATTCTGCCCATGCCCATGTTGCTGTGGCCATGCCTGTTGCACCTCATCTTTGCCTATGGCATTCCAGATTTGCCTGTTGTACCCTGACCATGCCTGTAGCACCCCAGAGTTGCCCATGGCACCCCAGCTGTGCCCACAGCACTCTGGGCATGCCTATGGCACCCGAGCTTTGCCTGTGGCATCCCGACTGTGCCCGTGTCCTGGCCCTGCCCAGGGCATCCCATCTTTGCCCATATGACCCATCTTTGCCCGTGGACCCCTGTCCACGCCCATTACACCCTGTCCATGCCTGTGTCACCTCAACTGTGCCCGTGGCACCCCAGCTTTTCCTGTAGCACCCTGACTGTGCCCATGACACCCCAGCTTTGCCCATGGCAGCCCATCTTTGCCTGTTGCACCCCAGCTGTGCCTGTGGCACCCTCAGCCCTCCGCCCTGCCGGGGTGTCCCCCATTCCCACGCCTGTTCCCGGCCTCCCACCCTCCCGGAAATCCTTCCCTGGCGGCGCGGGGGCCCTCCCGGACCCCCCCAACTTCCTGCTTCCCGCCGGGCAGGGCAGAACAATTCCCGGCCGCCGCATCCTGCCCGGCCCGGGGCGCAGGGGGGGGGCACTGCGGGGGCGCCCCCAGGACACCAGGCAGGGCCTGGGGGTCCGGGGCAGGACGTGGAGTGGGGAGGGGGAGCGGACGGGACGAGTTTCCTGAGCCTCGTCACAGCTGGAGGAGGGGCTGTGGCGGGGGGGGGCAGAGTCGGGGACCCCCAAGGGCGTGGGGGGCCCTCGTGACACCCTTCCCTCAATGCCGCCTTGTCCCCGTGCGGCCCGCGTGACGCTGCTGCCCCGTGGCCCTCACGGGGCCCCGGCGTGGCCGTGTCTCCCCCCAGGGACCCCCTGGTGTCCCCCCCGCCCCAGCGCCATGGCCCCTGGCCGGCCGCTGGCCCTTGCCTTGCTGCTAGCCCTCGCCACCGCTGCTGCTGCCACCGCTGTCACTGCCCCGGGGGCCTCGTGGAGCGCCGTGCCCCGGAGAACTGTCCTCTATGCCGGTGAGTACTGGGGGACACTCTGGGGGGCTCAGGGAGGGAGGGGAAAGGGGGGAAACTAAGGCACAGTGGGTGGGAGTGTTGATTCTGTCCCTTGCTGACAGCGGGTGACAGATTGGTGGTTAAGGCATGAGGCTTTGGCTTGCCCCCCAAAGCTTGTCAGCATTGTGGGACCCCCCCCAGGTAGTAGAAGAAGAGGAGGGACATGCAGGGACTGCTCCCTGTCCTGGTGCTGTGCCGGTGCCTGGGGTCCTCAGGCCTGTGCTATGTCCCATCCCTCTTCCATGGCCCTTGTACCATCCTTCTGCCATGTCCCCTGTCCCCAGCCCTGTGCCATGTCCCTTGTCCCATCCCTGTCTATGTCCTCCTGCCCTGCCAGCATCCTGAGATTCCATCCTTTTCCCATCCCAGCACAGTGTCTCTGTGCTGTGCCATCACCCTGTGTCCCCATCTGCCGTGCCCTGTGTCCCTGTCCCCGTGCTGTGCCAGCTCCGATGCTCCTGTCCCTTTGCCATGCCCTGTGTCCCCATGTCATGCCCCATTCCCCTGTCCCCGTGGGGTGGCAGTGCCCTGTGTCCTCTATTCCTGTTCTATGCCAGTGTCCCTGTGCTGTGTCCCCTGTCCCCCTGCCTGTGACTCCTGTCCCCTTTGCTGTGTTCCATCTGCACTCCTGCAACCCCCACCTTTCTGCCGTGCCACTGTCCCCATGCAGACACCATCCCCTGTCCCCTATCCCCACACCCAGGACCCCCACCCTTCTGCCGTGTCCCTGTGCCGTCCCCGTGCCGTCCCCGTGCCTCCCCCGTGCCGTGCCATCCCAACATCCCCGTCCCCACCCGGGGGCCCTGGTGCTGCCCCATCAATGGGCCCTTTCTGCAGGGCCCGGGGGTGGCTGGGGGGCACAAGGGGGGGCCGGGGGGGCCGCAGGGTCTCTGCAAAGGCCACTGTGTTCGCCCGGCGCCGTCCGTGTGGGTGACAAAGAGCCCTTTGTGTGCCACAGTGCCAGGGGGCTCGGGGGGGTTCTAGTGGGTGAGGGGGGTTCTGTGGATGCACCCACCCCGGGCAGGGGGTCCCTGCAGCACTGGGGGGCTCTGGAGGGTTTCCAGTGGTGGTGAGGGGCTGTGGGTGCACCCAGCCGGGGTGGGGGTCCCTGCAGGGCTAGGAGGCTCTGAGGGTGTTCTGGTGGGGGATGGTGGTTCTGCGGGTGCACCCATGGAGGGCAGAGATCTCTGAAGATCGGCGAGGGTTCTGGTGGTGGTGGGGTTCTGTGGGTGCACCCCCCCGGGGTGGGGGTCCCCATGGGGCTGGGGGAGTTTAGGGGTGTTCCAGTGGGTGGGGTGGTTGTATGGGTGTGCTCGCCTGGGGTGGGGTCCCCGTGGGGCTGGGGTGTCCCAGCCCGGTGTCCTGTGTCCCCGCAGAACTGCGGGATGCAGCCAAGCGCTTCTCCCACGGGGGGGTCTCGCACTACCTGACGCTGACGCTGGACGAGGCCGAGGGGCTGCTCTACGTGGGGGCTCGGGAGGCCCTGTTCGCCCTGGCCACCGGCACCGTGGAGCTCAAGGCAGCGGTGAGGCCCCGGAACTCTCAGAAGGAGGGGAGGTTTTGGGGGAAGTGTGAGATTCCAGCCCCCTCACCCGTTCTGCGCCCCCAGATCTCCTGGGAAGCCCCGGTGGAGAAGAAGGCTGAGTGTGTGCAGAAGGGCAAGAACAACCAGGTGGGTGCTGTGAGTGCAGTGGGGGGGTTTGGGGCACTCTGGGGTGGCCCCCCCTGTGAGGACACCCCATTAATGTTCCCTCTGTCACCCCCCCAGACTGACTGCTTCAACTACGTGCGGTTCCTGCAGAGCTACAACAGCTCCCACCTCTACGCCTGTGGCACCTACGCCTTCCAGCCCAAGTGCACCTACATCGTGAGTGGGGGGGGGCAACACCTGGTTAGGCCCCAGTGCACCCCTGTACCCCGGGATGAGGCCCAAGAGCATCACTGAGGGGTGTCCCTCTTGCCAGGGGAGGCATTCAGGGGTGCCCCTGTGGGCAGGGGGGTGTCTTATGCCCATGAGGTAGGTATGGGGAGGGTCTCCTGTGCCCTTGGAGTGTCGTTGGCGTGTCCCTGTGCCCAAAGGGGTCATCTGAGGCGTATCCCTGTCCACAGGGGTGGTATTCACTCCCCTGTGGGCAGGGGAGTGTCTTGTGCCTGTAAGCAGGGGCGGTTTGGGGGTGTCTTCTGTGCTCTTGGAGTGTTGTTGGGATGTCCCTGTCCACAGAAGGGTCATCCAGGGGTGTCACTGTGCCCAGGAGGTTCATCTGGGGTCATATCCCTGTGCCTGGGGCCTGTCTGGGCATTGGGGGACATGAATTGAGCAGGGGGTCGGGACCCCCACCTACTCCTGTGCCCCCCAGGAACTGTCCGGATTCACCCTGGACCAAGTGGCATTTGAGGACGGCAAAGGGAAGTGTCCCTACGACCCCACCAAGGGGCACACTGGCCTCATCGTGGGTAAGTGGCACCGCTGGGCGCCTGCTGGGCTCAGGGGGGTACCCACCGTGCCCCCCACCCCCCTAAAACCCCTCCCTCACAGACGGGGAGCTCTACTCAGCCACCTTCAACAACTTCCTGGGCACGGAGCCTGTCATCCTGCGCAACCTGGGCCCGCACTACTCCATGAAGACGGAGTATCTCACCTCCTGGCTCAATGGTAGGGATGGGGGACACACAGGGAGGGGACGGTGGGGTCAACCATGTCCTGGGGACATCAGGCCCAACATCACCGGCCAGGCGAGGGAGGGGATTGTCTGGCTCTGCTCTGACCTGGGGTGGCCTCAGTTGCAATATTGGGGCAGTTTGGGGGGGACAAAATATAAGGAAGATATTGAGCCATTAGAGTGTGTCCAAAGGAGGCAACGAAGATGGTGAAGAGCCTTGAGGGGAAACCGTGTGAGGACGCTGAGGGCATGTGGTCTGTTCAGCTGGAGAAGAGAAGATTGAGGGGAGACCTCATTGCAGTTACAGCTTCCTGGGAAGGGGAAGAGGAGTGGCAGGCGCTGAGCTCTACTCTGTGGGGACCAGGGACAGGACCCCAAGGAATGGCCTGAAGTTGTGTCAGGGGAGATTTAGGTTGGATATTAGAAGAAGGTTCTTCCCCCAAAAGGGTGGTTGGGCACTGAACAGGCTCCCCAGGGCAGTGGTCACAGCCCCAAGGCTGTCAGAGCTTAAGGAGCATTTGGATGATGCTCTGGGGCACAGGGTGTGACTCTTTGGAATGGGCCTGCACAGGGCCAGGAGTTGGACTCGATAATCCTTGTGGGTCTCTTCCAACTGAGCGCGTTCTGCCACTCCCCCACCCCCACACGGTGTCACCCCGTGTTTCCCCAGAGCCCCACTTCGTGGCCTCAGCGTTCGTGCAGGAGAGCTCGGGCAGCAGCACCGGCGATGACGACAAGGTGTATTTCTTCTTCAGCGAGCGCGCGGTGGAGTACGACTGCTATGCTGAGCAGGTGGTGGCCCGGGTGGCCAGGGTGTGCAAGGTATGGAGGGGACACCACAGGGACACCAAAAACCAGGATAGGAACTCTCCAAGCAGTTTGTTGGGTTGGAAAGCTGACGTTCCTTTGTTGGGTGCACCCAAATGCACCCCCAGCACCCACTAGAGCAGGGGACGGTCATGAACTGATCCATATTCATCACGTTGTGTAACATATTCATTGTGTTTCCTGAATAATCTGCTAATTATTTCCGTGGATTTATTTGGATATGAGTAAGGGTCTTTTGAGGGTCTTTGGTGGTCATTTGGGAACATCCCATTCCCCAAATTTCCCTTTGATGGTTCTGGATCTTCTGATGAATCTTTTCTCCTTCTCAAGTACATGATCAGGTCATGGTGCCCCTTCTCTAATCAGTCTTGGCTCTGACACACAACCCTTGTTCTCAAAACAAAGACATCTAGTACTTATTAATCACTGATATAGATAATTAAGGCAGCAATAGCTGGCACAAGACTATTAATCACTGATTTAGGGATCAAATACTGTTGTGTTGAAGTTAATTGTCCAACACCTTCCCCCACTGCTGCACAGACCCTTTGTAACCAGTTTGGTGTCACCGTGGTGGCTGTGCCATGCGGTGACTGTGGCCTTTTCTCTGTGTCCAGGGGGATGTGGGTGGTGCCCGGACGCTCCAGAAGAAGTGGACGACATTCCTGAAGGCCCGTTTGGTGTGTTCAGCCCCGGAGCAGCAGCTCCACTTCAACCGGCTCCAGGCTGTGTTCACCCTGCCCGGGGCTGAGTGGCAGGAAACCACCTTCTTTGGGGTGTTCCAGGCCCACTGGTGAGTCCGGGGGGATGTGGCATGCCAGGGATCCCCAGGATGGAGGGTTCCCGCCCCAACCCCTCCTGTGCCTGCAGGGGGGATGTGGATGTCTCAGCCATCTGCCGGTACCACATCCTGGAGGTGAAGAAGGCATTTGAGGGGCCCTACAAGGAGTACCGGGAGCAGGCGCAGAGGTGGGGCCGTTACTCAGATGAGGTGCCCAGTCCCCGGCCCGGAGCGGTGAGTGGGCACTGGGGACTGGGGGGGAAGGGTGGGATCCATCTGTGTGACTGAGGGCCCTCAGTGCCCTCCTAAGAGACTGGCATCTGTCCATGTGCCTGATAGCGCTCTCTCTGCCCTCCTAAATGGGCTGGGATCCATCCACATGGCTGATGGTGCCCTCCTAAAGGGGGGTGGGATCCCTCCATGCTCCTAATGGTGCCCTCAGTGCCCTCCTGAGAGGGGCTGGGATCCCTCCCGGGATCCCTCCCCGCTCCTGACACTGCCCCTGTGCCCTCCCCACAGTGCATCACGGACTGGCACCGGCAGAACGGCTTTGCCAGCTCCCTGGAGCTGCCCGACAACACCCTGAACTTTGCCAAGAAGCACCCACTGATGGACGAGCCGGTGCCGCCGCAGCGCGGGCGCCCGCTGCTGCTCAAGAAGGACTCTAACTTCACCCAGCTGGTGGTAGATCGCGTGGCTGGGCTGGATGGCACCATCTATGAGGTGCTTTTCATCGGCACAGGTACCTGGGGCAGCTGGGAGGGCACGGAGGGGACAGTCCATGCTATGGCACAGCCCTGAGCACCTGCCCTGCTCACAGGTGATGGGTGGGTGCACAAGGCGCTGGATTTGGGCACTTCCATCCACCTGGTGGAGGAGCTGCAGGTGTTCGAACCGGCACAGCCCGTGGAGAGCCTGGTGCTGGCCAGGAGGAAGGTGAGCAGGGCTGTGGGGCCAGGGGTGGCACTGCGGGGACACCTCGGGGCAGGGTCACCTCAGCCCTTTTCCCTGCCCTCGTAGAAGCTGCTCTTCGCCGGCTCCCGTTTCCAGGTGGCCCAGCTACCCCTGGCCGACTGCGGGCGGTACCAGTCGTGCACAGACTGTGTCCTGGCACGGGATCCCTACTGCGCCTGGAGCCGGAACGGCAGCACCTGTGTCCGGATTGATGGGCAGAATGGGTACGGGATGGGCTGGGGGATCCCTCATCCACTGCTTCCTCATGGGAGTAAGCTCCATCTCTGTGACTGGTGACAGGACCCTGGAACAGCTGGAGCTGTGTCAGGGGAGGTTTAAGTCGGATATTGAGAAAAGGTTCTTCCCCCAGAGGGTGGCTGGGCACTGAAGAGGCTCCCCAGGGCAGTGATCACAGCCTCAAGGCTGCCAGAGCTCAAGGAGTGTTTGGACAAAGCTCTCAGGGACAGGGTGGATTTTGGGGTGTCCTGTGCAGGGCCAGGAGTTGGACTGGATGATCCTTGTGAGTCCCTTCCAATATTCCATAATTTTAGATTGGGGAATGTTTGGACAGTGCTCTCAGGTGTTGAGATTTGGGGACTGGGGGGGACTTTTGGGGGTGTCCTGTGCAGAGCCAAGAGCTGGACTCATCCTTGTGGGTCCCTCCCAACTCAGGATATTCTGTGATTCTCTGGGTATGGGGCTCCCCTGGGAGGGAGGGGACACCCTACAAGGACCCCCCCTCACTGCACCCCCTCCTGCCACAGGTCCCACCTGGTGCAGGATGTGCTGAGCTCCGACACTGGCGCCTGCTCCGTCCCTCAGGCAGCCAAACAAGGTGAGCCCCCCTGAGCCACACGGATCCCCCCATCCCTCTTCCCGCCCTCCCTCCTGACCCCCCTCTCTCCCCACAGGGCCCCTCACCCCCAAGAACGTGACAGTGGTAGCAGGCACCGACCTGGTGCTGACGTGCCGCCTGGGCTCCAACCTGGCACGGGCGCAGTGGACGTTTGAGGGCCGTGCTCTGCCGGCCGAGCAGGCGCTGGTGCTGAGCGACGCGCGGCTGCGGGCGCTGGTGGTGCCGGGCGCTGGTGCCCAGCACAGTGGCACATACCGGTGCCTGGCGGAGGAGCAGGGGGCCCCCTTGGGCGCCCAGGAGTACCAGGTGACTGTGCTGGCGGGGCCCGGGGCGCCGCTAGAGGCACGGGCACCGCTGGAGAGCCTGGGCGTGGTGTGGGTGCTGGCCGTGTGCCTGGGCGCCCTGTGCCTCGTACTGCTGCTCGCTGTGCTCTCGCTGTGGCGGCGCCTGCGTGAGGAGCTGGGCAAGGGTACCAAGGCCATTGAGAGCACCCTGGTGTACCCCATTGAGCTGCCCAAGGAGCCACCCAGCCCCCGCTTCGTGTCCAGCGCCGCCTCCGACTCGGATGAGAAGCTCTGGGACCCCTCCAGCTACTACTACTCGGACGGGTCCCTGAAGATTGTGCCTGGCCACGCCACCTGTCGCAACGGCGGCCCTGGCACTGCTGCCTCGCCACCCGCTGCCATCCCTGGGCAGCCCCTGCACTCGCCCACCCGCATCCACCTGGGCCCCCTGCGCGGCTCCTCATCCAACGGGTACATCCGGCTGGCACTGGGTGCCGAGGAGCGCCCACCCTGTGCCGACCTGGCTGAGGAGCTGCGGCGGAAGCTGCAGCAGCGCCAGCCCCTGCCCGACTCCAACCCCGAGGAGTCATCGGTCTGAGCCGGAGGGATTGGCACCACCTACCTCAGGGCCCCACCCCAGACCCCAGGGTGGGCACCCTGGCCTAAGGACCAGCACCGGCACCCAGCTTGGGGCTGTGGGGTGGGCGCTGGCACCTGCCCTGGGGACAGGATTGTTGCCTCAGTGCCAGTACCCGCCTTGGGAACTGATATATTGGCACTGGTACTTGCCTTGGGAACAGGATTGCCACCCTGGTACCCTCTTTGGGGACAGGATTGCCACCCTGGTACTCATTTTGGGGATGGGATTGTCACCCCAGCACCTGCTCTGGGGACAGGATTGTCACCCTGGTGCCAGCACCCATCTTGGGGGCAGGATTGTCACCCCAGTGCCAGTACCTATGTTGGGGACTGACACGCTGGCACTGGCACCTGCTTTGGGGACAGGATTGTCACCCCAGCACCTGCTATGAGGACAGGAGTGTCACCCTGGTGCCAGCACCCACCTTGGGGACAGGATTGTCAGCCTGTTTGCCAGTACCTGTGTTAGGGACTGACCCACTGGCACCCACCTTGGGGACAGGATTGTCACCTGGTACTTGCCCTGGCAGTGGGATTCCTACCCTGGCACCACCTTGGGGACAGAAGTGTCACCCTGACACTCACCCTGGGGTGTCACATTTGGGGTCCTGGTGCCCATCTTGGGCCCCAGAGCCACCCTTGGTCACCACACCCGCCTTCGGTACCATGTCCCACACAAGGGACAGACCTTGGGGACACCCCCCCCGGGCCCACGCCCCGGTGGCCCCAGGATGTTTTTTGGGCTGATTTCTGAACTGATCGGGTTTTTTTCCCTGAGAACTTTTCTATTACCCCCACCCTGTGTCCCCCTTCCCAGGGCTCTGCCCCCCTAGCCCTGGCTGTACATCCCCTCCCAACCCCCTGCCTGCTCCCCCTGCACGGTCCCCTCCCGTTTTGTATAACCCCTCCAGTGTAATTTATTTGTTACCGAAATATATTTATTTGCTGTAAATACGTGAGTATTTTTATATTAATAATAAAAGGAGTTGAAAATACGAATTCTCTCTGAAAAGTGACACCCGCGGTGGCCGCGGCCAGTGCTGGGAGGGATGCTGGGCCCCCCCTGGGTGCTGAGCTCATGGAAAAAGGCTCATAAAAGGGCTATAAAAGGGCATCGCGGTGCCGTTCCCAGGCGGGGGGGCCGGGGCTGCCCGTGCCCCCCTCCGGATGCGGGGGGTCAGCACGGGGGCTCCCCGGGGAGGCTCTGCTGGGAAACCAGGCGGAAGCAGGACCAGGATCCTGGGGAGGGGGGGGGGCTTGGGAACGGGGCCAGGGGTGGCACCAGGGCGTGGGAAGTGGGGCCGCGGGAGCCCGGAGCCCTCCGGGGTGGGAGGGTGAGGACTGGGGGCTCTGGGACACCCATTGCTGAGGGGAGGATGGGAGTCTGGGACCCCACAGCCAGGAGGGAAGAGGTCTGGAGACCTCCCAAGTACGTGGGGGGTGATTCCTACACCCCCAAAGTATGGAGGGGTGACCCCTGGGCCCTCCATAGTGGGGAGGGGAGACCTGGCACTCCCGGAGACCTCGTAAGTGTGTGTGGGTGGTCCTTAAGCCCTCGTAGCGCGGAGGGGTGACCCCAGGGTCCCCAGTGGGGAGGGGGGCCGGACCCTCCATAACGGGGGGGTTTAGTGGCCCCCGGGGGGGGCGGGAGGGGCCGCTTAGCACAGGGCGGGCGCGGGCGCCCCCTGGCGGTGGCTCCGGGGCACTGCGGGGGAGCGGGCCTTTGCCTCGGAGGCGGGGCCGCTCGCCTGCATTCGGCCCTTTCCGTCAATCTTCGGTTTCCGTCAATCCTCGGTCCTTTCCGTCAACTTCCGGTCTTTTCCGTCAACTTCCGGTGTTTTGCATCATTTTCCGGTCTTTTCCGTTAATTTCCGGCCTTTTCCGTCA